TCTCCAAACTCTCCCTTACATATTTATAAGTCTACAATTTGTTCATAGTTAGAATATTGATGCCACATATGGTCCGGTACTCCTGCTATTTACCCTGAACTCTTTGATAAAATCTAAAGAAGAATCAGCAATATTATCGGTCCTGATCTGGCGGCTCGGCTTCAGTCCATTTTCCACTGCCGTAAAGTTGTCTCCCTGCCCCTTTCTATAAATACTTTCATGGTAATTGTTCAGATGAGCTCATTCGCTATGGTCCCAAGGCTTTTTGAATTTAAGCGCAGTACCAGACTGGCGTCTAGATCTCATCAATTTACAGTTGAGCTGGCGAGATGTAGCCGTAAGTTCTATGCTAACAGTTAATTTTCTAGCACTTCTCGCTTGTGGGACTCAATTCCGGCTCTATGCTTTCCAGCCAAATTTAATCTGTAAAAATCTAAACGCAATGTCAATCGCTATCTACTGTCCTCCTGATTACTCTTTTCTCTTCCCGCTCATTATTACTGTTTCTGTTGCTAATTCATCCACACTCAGTAACCCCTTTGTGTCTTAGTGGATTTACTACTTTGTATGGAGTGAAACCAATTAAAAAAAAAACCTTTACAGTGAAACAATCCTGAGGGAATTAGAAACCCTATCAGGATTAATTTTTGGAGGCCACACTCTTAACAACATTAGATATGCAGATGACACAGCGTTGCTAGTAGAGGCAGAAAGAGAAGCATGAAGTGCACACTATGAAGATATAAAAAGATTTACCAAGCGGAGCTTAGATGTGGCACAAGGTCGAAAGTATGGGGCACCCAGTGAGGATCGAACTCACTACTCAATCGTAATTGTTCTAGCAAGACAAGCTTGCTAACCATTACACCACGTCGAGGTGCCCAAGTGATTCTCCAAGCGGAGCTTAGATGTGGCACAAGGTCGAAAGTATGGGGCACCCAGTGAGGTTCGAACTCACTACTCAGTCATAATTGTTCTAGCAAGACAGGCTTGCTAACCATTCACCGCCTCGAGGTGCCCCTGTGATTTTTATAAGCATAGCTTAGATGTGGCACAAGGCCGAAAGTATAAGACACCCAGTGAGGATCGAACTCACGACTCAGTCGTAATTGTTTTAGCGAGGCAAGCTTGCTAACCATTACACCATTGCCCGCATACTATGAAGATATATAGGATAAATATCGATTTATTCTGGTCTTTAAAAAGTTTACATTGGTCAAGGAAGGAGTTTGTTCCACAGTTCTGGGGAAGAAGTAGGACTTACTCATTACTAAAAGCACACAAAAGTAATGGGATTATTTTCTATCGTAAGTATAAAATGGCGTGTCCTAGATGTGAAGGTATGAGCTAGTGGGACTAAGCGATGTAACTCGTTACAGCATTTGCCATAGTAATAATGATAGATTAGTTTAAGACTAGCAATGTTTCATCTGTGGGATAAGGGTTGCAGGGTGGAAAATAATTCATCACCCACAAGGCCGTGTAAACTCCTCTTGAAATTTTGACAGCGAGGAATGTGTAGCGCTATTCCTTATATGGCAGCAATACTTCATTCTTGCTCAGATCCAACTCTTGTAAAGATCAAGCGTGGCAGCAGGAATTAGATATTTTCTGGAACGATACAATGAACCAACCATTCTTCCAGCGTCTTTATCGATGGAACCGAATATACGAGTTCCTCATGCGAAATATCGCAAGCTTCTCTTTAGTCTGTCGCCATTTCCATGGCAAGTGTTCTGACGAGCTACATTCATTAGTTCCATTAGTTCAGACATTCACAGCTCAAACCCACCATGTCAAGTACACTGGGATAAATCATCCTCTTTCCATTCATATTCCATTAGTACAGAGGAAGTTCTATTCGGAAAGCGTCCTTCCAAGAAGCTCTACTTTGTGGAACAGACTCCCGAGTGGGTGTTTCCCATTCGAAACAATCCTACATATCCTTATAATCTACACTTCTTAACCTCTCCTCTTACGCTCATACAATGACCCCATTCAGTAACTCTCTATCTTGACTGACACTTTAGTTAAAAAAATGGACTTTATTACACAACTATAATTAATTTATCCTTAATAATCGATTCGTACACTAACAAAAAAGTATACATATGACCAACATCAGTTTGAACATTTTCTCCAGACAATGAGAAAAGGACTTATAACAATAAAAATCGTGCTTCAAAAATCTCATAAGTGTCAAATAATGTTTATGGCAAGTATATGCCTTCTGGGATAATGAATTTGTTTTCCTAATGTTCATGTTATATACAAGACTTTAACCAAAGCGTAACTGCGCAATATCGCCCCAAGCTAACAACGTAACGTAGATCCAGACGACAAAATGGCCGTGCCGTCATGTTTTATGAGAATATTAACAAAAATTACATGTATTCAGTTACTTTGTGGCAGTTTCATTTGCCTTGTGTTATTTCATGGGGAACAGCTTTATTTCCAATTTAATAAGAAACTACTTGTGATTAATATTTAAGTTACATTTCCTTCTTGTTTATCTCTCAGAGTCCGAAATATAACAAATTATAAAAATGGCTACTAGAAACGCAACTGAACATATAGCCTTGAAATATAAAAAAATGAAAATATAGAAATTGAACATATAATCTTGAAATATAAAAATTGAACATATAACCTTGAAATATAAAAATTGAACGTACAGCCATGAAATATGAAAATATAGAATTTTTTTCGGTTGGCGAATCCACGTTTTTTTTTTAAATACAGAATTTCCCTTCTATTAGACTGGACGCATATTTGTGGAGTGACTGTTATAAAGTATATCTCGAAAGCCGTTGTTTATCAGTTCATCGGTGTTCCCACACTTGCTGCCGTGCACCAAATTCAGATAAAATTGGTAAATACCATTAGATAGGCGAACTTATGGGTGGAGAGATAAAAGCCTACGTGCGCACGATGACTCACACACGCATGCGCACCACATCCAAAATGCGTATACAATAATTGAAAACTCATTGATTTTTCGAAGAATCAATTTTGAATGTTACAAGTGGTCATTTTGGAAGGAACTGTGGACCAATCTAATTAAAGACCGGAAATGGAATTCCAACATCTCAAAGATTCCTCAAATTGAAGAAATTCATTTCAGAGAAAAAAATTGTTTCCTGGGGGAAATTCCAATGAATTTTGCATACATCATGACAAACTAATTAAGAAGAACTGAATGAGTTTTGTTGAGTCATATGTAATTTATTCATTATAAAAATAAAATTATTTTCATCTGTGATAGGTAACTGAGTAAACAAGAACTTTTTTGTGCTTTGATTGGATGCGGATGGATCTTTACTTGACCGAGTGCTTTGACATTTTAAAATATCAACAGCGTCGACCTGTTTTCATGAAAGTAACTGTGTCAGCATCGGACTGTTTACGACTTCTTATTTTTATATTACTTTTTCACTTATTACAGTAGAATGATGACATAAACTATTTTTTGAGATTCCTCATGTCCAATATTCGCTAGCTTGATAGCCTGCGTAAAGAAATGAAATAAATGCGCGATTTCTTGTTCAGTTTAAATCTATCTTACATATCTATAAGTCTACCATTCGTCCATGCTTAGAATATTACTACCGAATATGGTCTGGTCCTCCTGAAATTTAGTTTGAGCTCCTTAATATGATCCAATGAAGAATCAGCAATACTATCAATCCTGATCTGGCGGCTCGGTTTCACTCACTTTACAATCACCGTAAAGTTGCCCCCCCTGTCTTTTCTATAAATTCTTTTATGGGATCTCTTCGCTAAGGGACCTGGACTTTTTCAATTTAAGCGCAGTACTAAACTGGCATCGAGATCTCACCAATTTAGTTGAGCTGGCTAGATGTAAACATAAGTTCTATACTAACAGTTCATTTTCACGCACTTCTCGCCTGTGGAACTCCCTTCCAACTATAAACTGCAAAAATTTAAATGCAATGCAAACCGGTAACTACTGCTCACCTGATGACGCTTTCCTCTTCCAGCTCATTATCAATGTTTCTAATTCTTCTACACCCTATAACCCCTTGTGTCTTAGTGGCATTACTGCCTTCAATGGGGTGTGATACGATTAAAATAAAAAGAAAATAATTATGTGAATGCTAATAGGTTAAAACCATATTGCAATGTTTTTCTTTGCAAGCGCTTCACATCGCTGTAACTGATTTTTATTCGATAAACAATGATGAATTAAAATAAAGGTTGTTGCAAATTGAATGAAGGAATTTAGAAATCTAATATTTCTGTTCATTAATTATCATTTATTTATTGTACGATCTGAAATTTACGTAGTTAATATATCAATTATATAAAGAGAATACTGTAACGAAGTGCGGATAGTAGGGTAGACTAAGGTCTCTATCCCTGCATGGTAACCCGTCTAAGAGAAGGAAAAATCTGAATTCCAAATAATTCCTTTTTTTTAGTTGCTATTTCGTTTGCTGCTAACTATATGTTTTATTGTTTTAGAGATAGTGTGGTTGAATTTTAGATCAAAACTGCATAAGTTATTTTTATGGTGGCTCTTATTCTGCTATGGTTGTTGGGATTATTATTTTCTGTGGATTTTTCTATTTTTCTCCTGTGTCTGTTGTAGGCTTTGCGTTTGGCATTATATAGGAAATAATTCGGGTATCGGAGGAGTGTGAAAGGGAACACATATCTACATACTGGAGTTTCACTGCCAGGAGAGAGTGCCAGCGCATGCGTAGTTAGTCTTTGATGTGTATAAACTACCAATCAAGCTGTGCAGCAGATTTCATGGCTGAATGCCTTCTGACCTTGTATATGTATAAATATTCGTGTCTATGTGCATAGATTTCGGTAACTCTTATAGAAATTGTATTAAAAGTTTCTAAAAGGAAGATTAGGAGAAGGCTGCTAAAAATCAAGACGGGCTACGGAAAAAATGGAAAACATCTGGAATTAACATCTTTCTCCATCCATTACAATTTCGATCAATTACACCACCCACGCATTTAACTCTACAGCGCCTGGTATTAACAAGTGGTCACCCATCTCCGCACTGACCTGGCTCAATGTTGCTTTAACGTCGGTGATCGTACGGGAACTGATGTGTCAACGTGATGTGGCCGTAAGCCGAAAAAAGATAGGTGAAGCTTATAGAGGGTCAAGGAACCTGTATTAACATGTAAAATAATAAAATGGTAATTTATTCAGATATACAAGACATTTGGGCCCCACATCAACACCTACGCAATAGCAAGAAGCGCTACGACAAAAGTTGGAAAACTTGGAGTTGTCGGAATATACACATCAGTCTAAAGTTGAAATTGCTACAAGCCATTGTTTTCGTCATCGCCAGCTACGGGTGCGAGTCATGGACACTAAGAGGGAAAGATACTGGATTGAGGCTTTTGAGATGTAGGCATTAACAGTGAGATGCGCTAATAAGTTGGTGCTAGATACTATCAGAACAAGGTCTATATTGAGGGAGCCGTTTGCAGTAAGGAAGCCTCGTTGCTTATACGGCTGAGTGGCTTCGATAAGGATATTCTGCTAGGTTCAGTGGAGTGAAAGCAGCACCAGGGACGATCACACATGTCTTGGTTTGATGATAAGAGGTGAACTTGCACGATGCTGTCTGAAGTTGTAAGCATCAAACAGGAAGACAGAAAGAGATGGAGTTGTGAGGTGGCCACAGCGGTGCCAAATGAAAGGACATACAAAGAGAAACCTCATTTTCCCAGAAAGTTTACAACCACTTACAAGCCACTTCCTTACAGTACAAAATAATTATTCCAAGACTAGAAACTTCTCGCAGACTGTGGTCAGAAATTAGAGAAATCATATTTATTTTATCATGTTCAAAACTGTTTCTTTACCATTGAGCCACACCAGTTGTATTTGTCTAAAAAGAATGTCAAAGCCTGCAGGTTTTTGGCTGCTAGCAATTAGTGTTCGACCAAATGAAATGTCAGCCATTGTTGGTCAGGTATTGACATTCTGTTCGGTTGTGTGGAAATAACGAGTGAGTAAATAAATAAAGGAAAAAAGAAATGCCGTATGTAAGCGTGTGGACGTGTGCATGTGTGTGTGAGTGTATGTGTGTGTGTGTGTGTGAGAGAGAGAGAGAGAGAGAGAAAAGAAAAAGAGAGTATGAGTGAAAAGAAGAGGAAAAGTTCGTCTCTGTTTTTATTTGACTTTCATTTTCTAATTCCGTTTTTCTTTCTCTTTTTGATTCTGTTTTTACTTTTATTTACTTTGCTTCGCCGTTCTTTATCCTTTCCTTCTTTTTCAGAGAGTTCTCTGTAACCTTATTTCTCCTTCTCTCTCTCCGGCTTCTTATTTTTTTTTAAATTTTAGTTCTTTCTTTCTTTAACCGCCTTTTAAATCCCCGTGAAAAGGTCTCATATGCAAATAACCTTCTCTTTCTCCGTGTTTCTTTTTTCTTTCTCTTTCGCACTACCGCTCACTCTCTCCTTCTGATTCACCCTCCCCACAACATTTTTCTTCTCTTTCTCTCCATCACTCTTATTTTCTTCATTCAGTAACGACTATGACTGTCTTTGAGAAACTTCGATATCAAGGAGAAACTATAAAAAAGGAAAGAAGACAAACACTGTTTTACCTTTAAAACTAGAGAAATCTACAAAAGAAATTTCAAGAATAAAAAAAGCGAACTACAAAAATAGAAATTATTATTTAAATCTTCATGTCTTCACTCCGCGAACGAAGGTTTCAGAAAGAATTCCATATCTGTTATAGGTCAACTGATGACCATCGAGTAACACATGGGACAGATAGGGTGGTCCGAAAGTCTTGTCACTACTATATCATATAATTTTCTATTTCAACGCTCTGTGGGAGCATTATCAAGGAGAGATTGTCTCGTGAACGATACCAAAATAGCCATCAGTTGAAGGACGCCCTTCGGAGAGCCTTTGCAACAATCAACAAAGCACAGTTTCGTAAAATATCACAGAGAAAATGACACCGCATCATTTTGTGCCACGAAAATGATAGTGTTCCTAAAGACCTCGTCAATGAAACCGAATAAACTGAATCCAGTACATGTGCTTTGTATTACTGTATTACTTGTTCTATAGTTTTCATTACTTTTTCGTAGGGGTGACAATACTTTTGGACCAAACCTGTCCATCCAGCAACTGGAGGAATCTCCTGTTTTAAAGTGCTGCTTATTCTCTTCAGTTTTGTCTCTGCGGCTTAAATCTAATGATTGGGTGCATGGATAATCTTCAACTTGGCCTTCTTATTTTATGTGACGTGACCCATTAGGGCGTAGACTATTGTGGCCCTCCACAACTTTTTATCCATTTTTCGCTCTAAACAATACTTGTCACTTTACGATCTCTCCCAGTTCCTGTTTTGCTATCTACACATGCTAGGTAGGTAGGTAGGTAGATCAAGGCCCTCCACAATTTCCTATCAATTGTATCTCTAAGCAACATCTGTTCCCTTACGATTTGCTATTGATTTACACATGTTAGTTAAGTAGTTTCATCATGACACTCCACAACTTCCTATCATTTTTATCTGTAAGCAATGTTTGTCCTCTTACGATCCCCCAATCCCTGTATTGCTATCCATTTATATGATCGTTAAAGTGGTTAGACACGGCTTTCCTCTGCTTGTTTTTCATTCAATATGTCATGTGTGTATCAAATTCTCCATACCCTCTTTCTTTATTACGTGAATGACGCTTTAAATTAGATTCATTGATTGACAGGTTTACTTTTTACGGCTTATTATCCTTTTGTAGGTTATTTAAAGTCAGAAAATATTTTAAAACTGTAACGATTGTTTGAGGATAACAATGATTTTTACTGATACAAGTTCTACTAATTAACCCATAGCTGGAGGAGAAGGATTAGATTCCCAATGGTATTTGCGCGTAACGAAAGAATTATAAAAAGATGGGACTCATATTCTATTCATACAGGGCGCGATGGGTAATTGTCACCATTTTATATTTTTAATTTCGCGCATGTACGTTGTTTGTTTTTGATTTTGTCGTCTGTAGAGCATAGTAGGGTCAGTTGGGCACCGTTTGTAAGAAAAAGATCACCAAGGCGCAATTCACTCCGCCAGAAATTTGGAAACAACATTCTGTACTGCTTGGCATTCGCACCGGAAGCTCCAATATGAACAATTTCGGAGTGTTTGGGTGTCAATCTGTGGACCGTGCAGAGAATTCGGAAAGAGTTGGATGAGTCTAATGGTCATTACGACAGCTCGGAAAACTCACTGTGATCGTTCTGAACTCCCAAATTTGTTGGTGAGGGCTTCAGACCCAACACGGATGCCTACATCAAGTGCTTTGAGGAGTTGATGTTGCCATAGGTCAAGATGGTGGCTACTGGAAGACCCTATGTCTGACAACAGAACTCTTCACCATGCCACACAAGCAAGAGTACCCAGTCATGGGATCAGACAATTTCTGTGTCTGCATCAGCCCTTACATAAGGTCAAACTGCAATCCCCTTGATTATTATTTGTAGGGCGTAGTTGAGCGAGAGACCAACAAAACTCCTTGTAACACCAAAGATGAACTGAAGGCAAGGATTATGGCAGCATTCACCAACTTAAACAAGGAGACCGTCCAGAAGAGTTGCGGGATATTCCGAAGTCGCCTGGAGGCCATAGTTGAAGCCAATGGCGATTTTATTGAATAAATTTACTCTTTAGTATTTCAAGATATTTTTGTGTAATGTTGGTAAATATATCTTTTAAAATGAGATGTCAGTGTTATTTTCGTTTTTGTGTAATTTAGATGACAATTTATCCATCGCACCCTGTATAACACTTTTAGAATATTCAACTTAAACTTCTTACCGTTTCTCTATTTTTGAACAGCGCTGAAATAAACATGTACAGGGTACGTTGGTATTAGAGGACATGTGAGATGAAACGATATGCCGTAATTGTTGGGATGCATGAAAAGTACATCGATGATTAATACTGCGTGTTATTTGGAAGTCGCCATTTCGTTTGCGCACAACATACGAAAGGAGTTTTGAAGCCTTCAGCAGGGATGTGTTACCTGTAGCCAAGCGTGAAAACATTTACTGAATTCGGACAGTACCAGGACAGCAGAATTCGAATTTCAGCTACGTTTCTTTCGCGGGGCTCAGAATAAACGCTACTACTATATAGGCATCACACAACTAAATCTTAAAAAGACAAACATGGACAATATATATATATAATTATATATATCCGAATGTAAAAGAACACAGAATAAAATTCCAACGTTCAAAAAATTAATTTAAAACAGGACTCAATACAAGAGTAGAGTACTACAAAATTGTACATTTTGTTTCGACGTTTAATAAAAAAACGTCTCATCAGGTAGTCAACAATGATGTTAATAAACGATTTTATTTCCGTTTGGAAATTTTCCGTACACGGTAAAAAAAAAAAATTATAAAGAAAAGGGAAAGAAAGTAAGAAATCAATAAGAGAAAAATGGGGGAGGAAAAAAAAAGAAAGGCAAAGGAAAGCAGAAGAAATTGACCCTATTACCAAGTGAATAGAAAGAAAAGAAAGACAAATGAAAGAGAGGGGTATATTGAAAATTATACAGATACAAAAGGAGGGGGAAAGTAAAGAAAAAAACATATGAGAAGATGTTTATTACCATCATTGTTAACTACCTGATGAAATATTGTTTATTAAACGTCGAAAGAAAATGCACAGTTTTGTAGTAGTAACTTACATGTTCCAATGTAACAGTGTATATTATATATATATATATATATATATATATATATATATATATATATATATATGTGTGTGTGTGTGTGTGTGTGTGTGCGTGTGTGTAGTTGTATGGGTATGAACTTGTGACTGGGTTGTCACGCTTTTGCGATCATCAGACATATTCATAGGAAAAGTAAGTGCTCAATATCGGTGATAGATCTTTTATAGATACAGACTGTAAAGGCATGCATAAAACTGGCGATTACCATGCAGTATTGATTTCTATGTCAAAAATCTATCTATCTATCTATCTATCTATCTATCTATCTATCTATCTATCTATCTATCTCAGTCTGTTCATATATATCTATCCATTACCACCTCGACGTTGTGTAATGGTTAGCAAGCTTGTCTT